GGCGGCAGGGGGAGCGGGAGCAGGAGCAGGGTTGGCAGAAGCTGGAGGGGAGGGAGGAGGTGATTTGGTGGGACGGGCAGTGTATGGTGGTGGTTCTACTGGGTTCGGCCCGGAGCTAAGAGTTTCTTGTGCTGTGGAGGGCGGCAGCAGGAGTCGTGCAAGTGGCGGCGGGCAGCTGAAATCTGTGCAGGGGGGTGGGATGGATGGTAGTGGGCTGCCTGGAAAGGACAGCACCAGGCGGCCGAACGGCAGTGGGTTGATTCTGAGCAATCAGGGGTGCATGGTGATGGGGCAATCCCTGGGTGGTGCGGCGTACCAGAAATTTGGTGCTAAAACAAGGTGTGATTCTAAGGGGGATGACTCTAACGGGGATGATTCCAGCAGCAAGAGCTGGTCCCAGGAGGGAGGGAAGGACAGCCCTGCGCTACAAGCACATGATCATGTGGAGGGAGGGAGGGCGGCCCTGACTGGTGGAGGGGGTGCGGGAGAATGTGAGGAGGATTTCAGGCACATTGATTTTGGCCATGATCCTCTCAAGGTGTTTGGATACCTGGATGAGGATGGGCATGCGCACATGCATTAGGCGTGTCCAACCACGCATACGGTGCATGCATACATGGTGTTTAATACGGTTTTGTCAGTGCTTCGTTGATGAAGAATCCACTGAGTGGATTTCACTTCAAGTGTTGCAGCTAGGCAGCACCCGCACCGAGTAGGCTTGTTTTTGGTCTAAAGAACACTAGGTGTTAACAATTGTATTCTGTTATTGAATATAAAAAATGTTATGCAAGCTTGTTTTTTCCTGATAAACTTGGATCAAGCCAAGGGCCCACTGTGCGGTGATACAGAACAAATGCATTTCACTACCAAACAAATTGTTTTACCGATATATCACAGAATGGATAAATTCCTGATCTTCCATGCAGTTACATGTACTGTACAAGTACCTCCCCACATTCGCTACTACCAGGCTCGGGCCATGTCCCCAAGAAAGTTATCAAAGTACCCTTCAGGCTCCGTAACAAACCGGGAAATGATATCGCGTAACGTAACCACGCCCAGCAGGCGGCCATGGTCATCAGTGACGTACACACGGTGAATGCCTTTCGCTGCCAGCATCTCTATCACTGACACCAGGCTGTCTGTGCGCTGGCAGGATACAGCTGGGCGCACTCCCCCCACTAAACCATAACTGTCGCCTATGGCACTGTCACTGCAGCTACTGCCCGTTTTGGCAATGGCGCCCCCGGCGGAACTGGCAGGTGGTATGGTTGTGGTAATGGTTGTGCCGCTGACACCCGCTGTGGCATCTGTAGGGGTGGGCGTGGTGCTGGTGGTGGCAGGGATGTCAGCTGCTGTAAGGGAGGAAGCAGGTGGGACGTGCAGCTCTGCTGCTTGCAGGGCGAGGCAGCGGTCAACAAAGTCACGCACGGTTAAATGGCTGACGGGAAGGAAAAAATACGAAGAAGGGGATGCAAAAGAGGGTGAGGGGTGGGATGGAGAGGAAAGGTGTATCCCAAGATGCTGCCTGCAAGAATCATTGCTCCCTTGGCTTGCCTGTATCCACCTCCCTACCTTGACGGAAACATGTGATAATGCAAGAGGGGGGAAGTGTTTACAGAGCACCAATGAAATGGTCACAACAGAACTCGGGCACGAAACGGAAATACCCTCAACAAAACTGGGGAGCAAGACGGGCGTTCTCACCTCCTAGAGTGGAACATGTCTGGGTGCAGCAGCAATAGTCCCACGTCCCTCGCACTGATGTTGGCGTACAGGATGCGATCTGGACCGTCGGTTACCGGCACGCCGCCAACCCCTTTCTCCTTCATGAGAAGAAACGCCTCCAGCACCAATGAGCCCGCATCCACTGACAACACCTGGTCAAATCGGGGCCGTATTCGATTAGAGCTTGTGGTTGTTTTTGCGCGAGTTTGTGTTTTATTTTTTCTCGTTTCCTCGAGAGGCACCTCATGTCAACCAGCTTGGCGAAAGGGGGGGACAAAGAAAGGTAGAAACAGAAACAGCCTCAGCACTAAGGAGTTTAGAACAACAGGAGCTCAGCTCACCTCCTCCTCCCCCACAAGTGGCAGGCCCAGAGTCATAAGAGGCTTGTCTGCGATTACATCAAACCAGTCGAATCCACGACACCTGCAAGGGAGGGAGGGAGCGAGGGAGGGAGGGAGGAAGGGAAAGAGGGAGGGAGGGAGGGAGGTAAGGAGGGTGAATGATAACCAAAGAAGAAGTGCTGTGCAGTGTACATATACTGCTTTAATTGAGCAAGCAGCAGTCCAACGTGCTCTATTCGGGCCTTCATCTTGTTTGCTCGGTCGATTGAAGCTGACAGCATAGCAATGTGAAACACGATTGACACCAAGACAAACCATATATGTACATTCATATACATACATATTATAGATATTTTCCCTTTGTTTTTTTCTTTCAAGTATGTTCCTGGCTGTACCTGGCAAGGCCACGAACCACGGCTGACTGTGTGATCAGGTTGTGCAGGCGAGGGGCCGGAGGGGCCAGTCCGAGGGCGACAACTGGCACGGAGCGCATGTGGAAGCGCGAGAGCAGCAGCAGCAGCGTGAGCATGGAGTCGGTGGGCTGCAGCGGGAGGAAGGGCGCCCAGCGGTAGCTGCGTGTGATGTCTGCCACCTGAGCAAGGGGGGTGTCATGGCAGAAGGGGATACAGGAGATGGGATGCAAGGAATGGGAGGAAGCTGGGGTAGTGGGGCTGCAGCTTGAGGAAAGGCGCCCAGTGGTAGCTGCGTGCGTGTGATATCTGGAACCCGAGGGGAGGGGGACCAGGAATTTGAACGTGGAATTGAAAAAAAACCAACCGCTTGCCTGAAGGAAGGGGTTCAAGAAGGAAACAAAAACCCCTTATGACATGCTTGTCTGTAGTGTCCATGACTTATACAATGGTGCTTATTGTGGCTGAGGTGCCTGCCCTGAGGTGCTGAACTGAAGTGACCTCTTTGCACACAATCCCTTACCGTAGCTGAACGGATTCCTCCCATACAGCAGCACTTACTGTAGCTGACTTGAACGGCTCATTTTCAGTGATCATATGGAAAAAGTCCACACCAAGAGAATCGGCAGCAGCAGCAGCGCCGCCCCCTCTCCCTCCAGCCAACTTCCTCCTCTCTCTCAACCCCCCTGCAACCGCCGCCCCAACCGCTGCTGCTGCCACGCCAGTCACTGCCAGCGGTGCGCCTCCCACCCCCAACGCTGCTGCTCCTAGCGCCCCCACCACTCCCACGCCAGCACCTGTCAACGCTGCGGTGCCTGCTGCCAGCGTGGCAGCTGCCAGGTCAGCCTGCTGCAACACCCACATCATGACACCTGCATAGTCTACCATTCCTAGGTACCGATCAGACCACGCCACGTCGGATCCTAACCCTAATCCTGCCCCTCCTGCTCCACCTGTTCCCCCTCCTCCCTCTACCCCTCCCCCGCCCGCCCCACGTGGCCCTGCCCCTGGAGCTGCGCCTGTGAGCCTGGCGTTGCGGACTGGCGCAGAGAGAATGCGATGGACGGACAGGATGCGCACGGCTTCGAGAATGGACGTGTCAGATGAAATCTCGACGACTGGAAGGGGAGCGGGAGAACATGATTGCGAGGGAAGAGAAAAAAAGCGGGAGAGGAGGGCAGAGAGCAGGAAAGTACTCGCTCAAAGCCAATGTTAGGGTGTGACTCATTACCTATTTCCTACCTAGCCAACTAGCTCCTGAGGCAATCGTCGAGAATGTTCTGGGATTATTATACGAGCCTTGTAATCTCTTTTATCATATTATCGGGCAATACATAGGGAATGCACGGAAGGAATGAGGGAGTAACCCGACACGTTAATGCTTTTCTGGCAGATAATTCTCTTCAGCCTGTAAACCGCGTCTTAAAATAAGAATAATAATAATAATAATAATAACAATTCTTCACTGAAAAGAGTCGGCATACCTTCTCCACCTGGCGGAAGTGGGAAGGACGAGACAGGTATGGCAGAAAAGGCCTCGTTTAACAGCTGCTGAACGCCACGTGGCACTCCCACGCTGCCACCTCGACCAGTCGAAGCATCCCCGGAGGCCCCCCCTACGCTAAGCTCCTTGAGTGCCGGAGCGCACCCGTCGTTCCCTCCCTGACAGTCTCCGCCATGCACGGCGCATTTCGCGCGGCTGAGCTCTTCGTCCCACATGCTCTGAATGCTCTCTCGCGCGCCAGGCTTGGGTGATTTGGCAGCATTGACGCACGGTACGAGCCGCGCTGCTGTGTCTGGAGAGACAGCCTCCATCGCTGGCCTAAAGTAAGGCGACGATGGTTGTGTACGGTAAAGGATTATTCTATTGCCTGGCTAAACCGTGAACAGAAGAGAAACAACGCCGAAACGAAGTAACAAATTACGTAGAGCCTCACTAATAGCTGGGTTACTAGTCGGAACTTATTACCGTAGAACTGCTTCGATAGCTTGCGCCTTGTGTTCTAGCACTGGAGGACAGCAAAGCAGAGCAAGAAATTGATTATTGTAGACACAAAAATCTGAAGCAGAGACATTCGAGAGTTGTGCAGTGCACAAAAATGGTGGCGAATGGAAGTAGATGCTGAGTGAACATTAAACTACAAGACGAGTGGTGCAATGCGGTGAGCGTAGTATCTAGGGCATTGCCAGTCGGTGCACTGCATTGCCGGTGCCCATACTGCTGGCTGGGGAGTCTCGTCGCTCTGCAGCGGACGTGTCGCAGAAGAGTCTCGTCCCTGAATTTCGCAATGCACAAGAGTGCAGCAGTGCCAGCGTGTGACGGGCCGACACGTCATTGCCGGGTTACGCCAGCAAAGCTCCAGCACTGTGGGGCTGTGTCAGCAAAGTAAGAATTACAGAACAGTCAGTAGGAAGAATACAATGAAAATACAGTATATTCAGATCCTGCCATTTCCAAAAGAAAATTCACAGATCGTCCATACCATTCCTACAAAATGAACAGCAGAGCAGGTTCTGCAGTTTACATGGTTGAGCACCACCTAACCCTTTCCCTGGCATCAAGGTCATCCTCATCAGCATGTGGTGCTACAGGAGCAGAACCCTCCAGCTTCCGTTCTAAACTAGCCAACACCAGAGCCGCAACTTCCGGTGACCCTTCATCCAATTCTTCCGTGCCCTCCAGCACAATGGGTGACACCTCCATGGGTTGCTCATGCACCAGGCTACCAGGGTCTGGAGCTGACACCGAGTGCTCATCTTCAGGAAAACATGCCGACAGAGGGGTTGATATAGGTGCAGTAGGGGAGGGCGCAGCTGAGAGTGCAGCTGGGGGTGCAGTTGAGGTTGCGGCCTCTTTCCCCTTACCACCATGCTGCGCCTTCACCTGCCAGTGCGTGGCAGCTTTCACCACCTCCTTCACTGCCACATCAGCAGTCTGAACCCCTACTTCTGTCGCCTTGCTGTAGGCTCGCCTTGACGATGCTGACACCGCTGCTGCTGCCGCTGCTGCTGCAGCTGAAACTGTTGATGACGCTGATGATGTTGGCGATGACAACAATGCGGATGGTGATGCAGCTGCAAGAGACTGGAGAGATTTAGCAGATTTGGCAGGAAAGAGCACCCCATGACCCCCAGGAGCAGCCACCACATGGACAACATCCTCCATGCTCAGCAGCAGTGCCTTCAGCCTGGGATAGCCCAGCACAGTGTGATCCAGGGGGTACGCGTACTTCTGCAGGAAAGCACCCTTGAGGAATGCGAGCTGGTACCCTGTCTTGTGCACCCCTGGCTTTGACAGTACCTCCTGAAGCAGTTGCCTCAAATCACTCCTCATCAGCTCTGCCTTGTGACTCGCTCTGGCCTTTCCCCCATCCGCCGCTCTGCCTTTTGCAGGCGCTGATGCCTTGACCGACCTGCTACTCTCTGTAAGGTTACCCTTGCTGCCTTCTGTCACGTTTTCTGCAGCAACGGTTGCAAGAGGAAGCTCAAGGCGAGGCGGTGGCACTGCCCTGCTGTGAAGTGTTGAGACACCTGCATCTGACACAGACGATGGGTTTTTCAAGATGGATGATAAACCTGCTGCATCAGAGGTGGCAGTAGAGGAGGAGAACAAGGCTGGCTGCATGAAGGGTCCTGCTTCAGGGCGAACAGCTCCAGGTGCTTCCTGTTTCCCCTTGATCACCTCATCCCTCAACTCTTCTCGCACCTCCTCCACTTCCTTCACCTCACGAACATCTCTCACTTCCCTCACCTCCCTCCACCTTCCCTCTGTGCGCCATTTGCTACCAGAAGGAGACCCCAGTGCAGCAACTTCCTCCCGCGACCCACCACCCATGCCCCATTCTTTCCCTTCGCCCCAACCCCTACCCTCATCCCAAGGCTGGTTCCCTCCCTTGATCCCAAACTGTTCCTCCTCTCCCAACCCAGATGGCCTCCTCTGATGTGCTTTGAATGCTTGAAGTGGTCGGGGAGACGGTGATGCATCGAGTGAACGAGGTGAGGGCAGGCTTGTGAAGGGGCTAAGGGGTGAAGAGAACGAGGGCCCCAGGGCACTCTCCTTCACGGGTTTCCTCTCTGAAGAGGGTGGCTCTCTGTAGCGAAGGGAAGAGGAGTGTGGGGAGGAGCGTGGGGAGAACGGAGACGAGGATTCGCCGCCCCAGCTGGTGTCGAAACGGCGATAACCTTCGGGTCGGGGCTTGGGGACAGGGGGAGGTGAGGCACGTGGAGTAGTGGGCGTGGACGGGTAAAGAGCACTGCTGGGTGTGCTGCCACTAGATGCAGCAGTAGTAGAACCAGCAGCGGCAGGGGGTAGCTGAGAAGAAAATCTTGGATTTGGAGAAGGAAGTGCAGCAGACACCGGACCAGAGGAGGTGGTTGATCTTGCAGCAGAGGGTGAGGCAGATACAGCCCTGGCAAGAGGCGATGAACACCCTTCTAAGTTTGCGCCTTTCAGCTCATCAGAGGCAAAGACCAGCACGAACCCTCCAGGAAACGACTCCAACCGTGCCAGACCCTTCATGCTCTCCAGCACGTCCCTCAGGCTCACAAATCCCAAAGCCTCAGGGTTGAATCCTCGCGGCATCTTCCGCGCACACTCCCTCTGAAGCTGATCCAACTGAATCCCATGCGGCTGGCTCAGCAGCACCCTGGCAGCGAATTCACGGAACTCCTGGAGCTTCTGCCTGTGGCGCCAAGACATGGGCGAAGGAGAGCTGACAGGCGACTCAACTACATCCGCTACTGCTGCTGCTGCTGCTGACCTTGGGGTGCTTCGCCAGCTGCCTTTGGGTCGTTCTTCTTCCCAGGTGGGACTACGTCCCTCCCCTGTCGCACCTTCAGAAGGGGATGCAGCCACCTTGAGAATTTCATCCCATGGCTTCACTGGCACCACTAGCACCTCCTGCTCACCCATGCCACTAACGCCATGCCTGTGCTCCCACTGCTGCGCCCTCCCACGCTCCCTCCCCTGCTCCCATGCTCCTTGCTCTTCCCCATGTTCCGTGCCTTGTCTGAGCCTTGGACTTCCAGCAGGAGGGCTCTCTGGCTTGACTTCAGCCAGCTCTCTCCCCAGCAGGTTTCGCGACGGGAGGCCTGTCCTGGAAACGATCGAGTCGATTGCAGCCAGACTCAGCCTTGTTGGTGAGGCAGCAGCAATAGGGCCTGGAAGAGCACTTGCACCCACACTGCTAGCTTCACCTCTCGTCTGTCGACTGCTGGATTCAGGTTGAGACCATGCATTCTTTTCAGCTTCAGCACTGTAGCCAGAGAGCTTTGTTGAAGAGAGTCGTGCAGTTGAGAGTGACCTTGGCGACAAAAGGGCCCCTGGGTGCAAAAGAGGAGCAGGTTCGTGTACAGTCACTTGCACAGGAGACCACTTGGTGGGGTGGGGTTTCAACCAGCCTCGGAGAGTGACTGAGAGCTGCACCACGTGGATCAGCTGCCCCATCACCAGCTGCCTTAGCTCCTGCGGACCTTCTATCTTCAATGTCTCTGCTGCATGGTACCTGGAAGAGGTGAAAAAGTAAACGTGGTAACATGAAAATCAGCTTGCGAGCTGGCAATAAGGTTTGTCACCATGAAAGGAGCTAAAACCGTGGAGAATGAGACAAGGGAGAGAGGAAAAAGACAGACAAGGAACTGAAAGGCTTACAAGAGGAAAAAAGGCGGGTTTACCTGCTTTTAGAAGACTCCATTGCCCAGCGACCTTCAGCAAGAAGGTACTTCTGAAACGCCAGCCAGATGCCATCCTCGTACACATTACAGGGGAACGAAGGGTCAATCCACGGCCAGCAAGTGTCCCTCCCCTTGGGCAGGTAGACATCGTTACACTCTTCCGACATGACCTTGATTTCCCCAGCTGCGAGAGCCCTCTCAACAAATTTCCACGACGACCACCCAGGGATGTCCTTGAGACCTTGCTTGGCCATGACATAGCGGAGCCGGGCTTGCACGTTGAAGTCGCTCGGTAGGAGCTTGTCGTACTGCAGTGACTGCATGACGTATTGGAGCAATTTTCGTGGCGTCACGTCAGTCAAAGGATGTTTTGACAAACTGAGCTTGTCAGGCGACGAGAATCCCGCTGAGACATATTCCCAGTCCACAATTTCCACGTTCAGTAGACCTGCTAGATTTTGAGATTTGGAACTGGAACCGTTGAGAGATTCAACACTGACGGCTGATGGGTAAGCGTGGATAACACGAAAACCCCGGTGCTGCAGGCCCATCAAAACGCGAAAAACGTCAGGCGTAAGAGCTGCTGCGAGAAGAACAACTGCCGGTGGACGCGCATCAAGAGCCCAGAAGAGGATAGCCTCGTGTATCCTTGCTTCACCTGCCACACACGCACGAGGCACGAGAAGGGAGGAATAATTTCAGTGCACAGGAGAAAAAAAAGATCCGAAAGAAAAAAAAAAATATTAACCAAGCCGACCTGGAGGATACTGATGGAGCTTCACGTTAGGAACAAGGCTGCTCGCCAGATTCACACGGAAATCGTTGCCGAAAATGTTAATGCTCCAAGCCTCGTGAATCCCTTTCATCTCAAGGAATCTGTTGACGTTCTCGATGACGTCTTCTGGGGAAAGGTCCTTGGGGATCGGACAACCTTCCACATCCCACCATACAGAGGCGGATCCAGTAGCCATCTCGCTTGAAGTGGCCTGTAAACAGCCGTATGTCGGAGCGTTATGCAGGAGAAAAGCGAACGAGAGCAGTAACGTGAGGAGCGGTAGGGTTGTATGCCAGAGAAGTAAACGAGGTGTAGCAGCACTGGTTTATTCCGCGGTGGTTTCCCAGTAAATATGTTAACACGTTGATTGAACCGAAGCGTAGACATGGTTCCCTTCCGCATTGTCTGCATCGAATCGCGTCGCTCCTCTCTCACAAAGCTGAGCATGGATGAGACCTCCTAGAACGGCATGCTGCAAAGCAGCTGGCGAGACGACCAACGTGTGTGCATGGCCTTTTAATGAACCTCATCTGTGAGTATAGGGGATGCCGAAGGGGCCAGTCAGGATAACGGATGAACATAACTGTGCAGCAGTGTATTACAGCGGATACAGAGGGTTGCAGAGGAAGGATGAAGGGCGGAGAGGGGCAGAAATGTTAGAGCTCACAGCGACCTTTCCAAGATTGGTTTGGTTGGGCTGGGAGGTTGGTGTTGTTAGAGCCACGACAACCTGTAAGCTATGATTGGTCTGGGCATCTTGAGAGGGGCGGGCAGGTAACCAGAGGGGCTGTGTCGGTTCCTTATTCGCTGAGCGATGAAGAGGAAGCTGAAGGTGCTGCCCGTAAAGTCAGATTGTATAGCCACCTTTCGTGATTCGACAGCCCGAATAACTTCACTGCCATCTACATTTTCTGTTACGCAGGGCTTCAATTTCAGGTGCATACAGTGGGCTCCCAACATTCCATCTCCAATCCCCTCCCACCCAGACTCGGAACTAGGCCAAAGCCAGGCAAGTCAGAAGCTCCTACAATTTCATTCTCCCAGCATTTGTTTGCCATGAACGATACATAGTTTATTCCAGGCCAGATGTTGAATACACCTCGTCTCACTCCTTGTCAGCTACTCTAAAAAACGTCCAGAAGGATGTCGAGAGCAATCGCTGATGTCGAAGATCCGTTCGGGTGTTCTGGGTTCGCGCGTTCGCCTACAGCCAATGACGGCTTTCCATTCTGGGTTTCAGCTGCATCTAGCTCCAGCGGCAGTTCCACTTCACGTGATTCAGATTCGTCCGAGACTGGTTGTAGTCCTTATGTGAGCATTATGAGAATGACGGAGGCAGCCATTGCTGAGCACGATCAGACTGTTGTGTTACCAGATGGAAAAAGCCTTTCCAGCAGCAACTCGATGAATCGTACCTCTGACACAAGCTGCATATTACTTGATCCCGGTCATGAGGGAGCTGAGAACGTTCAGCATACACCATCAGATTTCGCAAGCAGCTCACGTTCAAGCAGCACATCCTGCTGTGCGACATCCCTTACTCGTCGCTCTCTAAAAGAGCGCATTCTAAAGCCGTTTCCATCCATGAAGCTCATTCGTCAGCCCTCTCGCGCCTCTCGGGAATTTGACCTGTTTGTATCTCGCATTCAATGGCTCTGTCTTGACCAATCAGGAACCTGGAGCTCCATATGTTCGTGGACTGCCTTCGTGATATTTGGCGTCCTCATCCCCGCAATATCATTCACAAGCGTTCGTTGCACTGATGCATGTCCTGACCACGACCATTCTTTCACGCGACTAGTTACCTCCATTGACACTATCCTATGCTTCGCATCATTCACCTTCCTGACAAGGATGCAGCAACAGCCAGGGTTGAGACAAGTGTTACAGTTGGATTTCGTGTTTACAGCAGACGCTGCAAATGTTCTGAGAAAGTATACAATTGAGCTTCACGTAAGTGTCACCACTTTCCTTAAAGTTTTGTCCAACAATATGCTGCTTCAAATTGCATCACTTGTAGAGTTATTTATGTGCAGAAACTCGTGAGATCGTTGATGCTACTTATCCTACCTGCCTTGCTTATCAAGACCCTGAAGAATGTCATTTGGTTTGCCTCTGCTGAAGCAGCATCCCCTTGTGGTTCCCACAGCGTAGTCGCAATAACAAACGCGGGCATGGCCACGACATGGATTGTTGTGCTGGAGTTCTCCTGGGCCTACCAAGCCCTTGTGTATTTATTTGTTTGTGTTCTCTTTCGTTTTATGTGTTCAATGCAAGCCATCAGAATTCAGGTAATTTCTGAGTTATTTGGCGATTCTGTACCATCTTTGCAAAAAATGTTGACTTGAATGTCGCTGCTGTTAATGGGCTCATGCACTGGCAGGCATACATCGAACGTCTTGAAGACGAAGTTGATGTGGCTGCGATGTTGAGCCATCACATGCAGCTGAGAGATCACATGGCAACGATCAGCCACCAGTTTCGTAACTTCCTGTTGAAGGCTCTTCTCGTCGTGTGTGCTTCACAGTTTTCTGCGTTGTTTTCATTCCTGCGGCTCCACGGGTCTACTCCAATTCCGCAAGCTACTGACCTCATGGTTGGAAATCTCTTGTACCGTACAACGAGATGCAATTATATAATTTTCTTGCAACTGATCAGGAGTCTCTTGTTGTGCAGGTCTGCACATATGTACAGCTGGCGGGTGTACTTCTCTGTCTGCATGGTGCTGCACGTATAACCCATCAAGGTCAAAAAATTGTCACAGTCGTCAGCCAGTGGCATGCAGCAGCCACTTGCAGGAATTTTGCTGGATCTCGCAAGGAGATTTCACATGTGTCAGGCAGCAATGAGCCAACAGTGCCATTTGGAGGCTCAGATCTATTTTCATCCATTGCTCCTGTGACAACCCCTCCTCGCGCTGCAGCTCAGCACCTGGCATTACCTCTGCTATCCGGTGTCCACCGTGCAATGCATGCTGGTAATTTTGCACAGCCATCTTCACCATTAGCACCCAAGGCATTGAGCATGCAGCCCGGCCGATCTGGATATCCCAGAACACAAGCTGCATTGGCTTCCATGGCAGTGGATGGTGGATGCCTGCCTTCTGGGAACAAGGAACCCCGAGTGCCTGCAGAAAACACTTTCGTGGGTAGTGATGGTGAAGGCCTGGCACTCAAAACGCCATTGGGCGGAGAAAGGGATGGCATGACCAGTTCGCAACATGCTGAAGCAGAAGGGGAGGGGAAGAAATCATGTGTGCCTGGCCAAGGTTTGATCAAGATGCTTCACCGAGTTGGATCGGGTGTGGCAACTCTGGTAGACATTGCAGAGATAGGGAAAGAGCCCAAAAACTACGAGAGTGATGCCTTCCACAAGCGGGTTGCATTCGGTAAGTCAGTGGACAGACACCGTGCTTTGAAGGGCGAGACACATATTTCTGACGATTGTGCTGAGCATGGATGCAGTGACCTATCTTCAGCATTGCCCATGTGGCATCACGCTGTATGGCTTTTCGATGGATCGGTCCTTCTTGTATGCCATCTTCGGGCTGGTTTTCTCTCTGGCAACATTCATCATAAGCCAAGCAGCATCTGCAAATTTACCCAAGGAGACTTTTGCTACCTTATCAATTGGTGTGTAGGTTAGCTGAACAAAAGATATCATGGGGGGCAGTCATTACATACCAGTCTAGAATAGCATGTTTTTACAATTAAACATTCATGTAAGAACCGAGTCACTGCCTTCGTGGCCACTGCACCAAAGAGGTGTTCATAGAATGTCAGTTCTGCAGAAGGACCAGCAGAAATCCTATATAATGCCTAGCAGTTGGATAAAATGCTGGCACCTTACCTAACCAACCTTAACTAAACTGAACTCGTCGTATTTCTCTTAGTCAATGATTGACCTGTCAGAATATCACTCTGCTGCTGGTGTGCTCGCAGCCCCATCCGCATCAGTGGCACTGCTGCTGTCTTCACCAAATGCAAAATCATCTGGAATGTCCTCCTCTGCTGGAACTGAACCATCATCTGGCCGGGGTGTGAGTGGCTGATAAGATCGCACCGTGATGTCAGCAATCGGCTTCTTCTTGCCCTTCCCCGCAGAATTGTCCAAAAACAAAACCACGACACTGATGTCATCATGCACCTGTCGCCTCCGACCCGGTCCTAGCGTTTTCAGATCACTGTAGGTCAGCTTCCGCTTCTTTGCCGCTCGAATCATGGCGAGCTTCACCAGGCGCCTTGCTATTCCCTGCACCCGAAAGAACGTGCCACCCAAGATAAGCTCATGAAGAAAGAGAACTACTTCATGAGCAGGATGGAAGGACTCAAAGCACTGAATGCATGCACTGGAGGTTATGTAAGAACCAGCAACCCAACCTTGTAAAAAAGCGATTTATCGACCTCCATGCGGAGGAAAATTGCAGAATGCAATTGCAGCGAAACTTTGGTACCAATGAGTAATGGCAAGCTTTCGGAGTGTATGATGCATGTGCTGCTAAGACCGAATACAATGACTATGAAATTAATGCACCCACTGTATGCTGCGAAGGTAGTTTGGTTGCCCCTTCACAACAAAATGCATCACCACAAAGTGCACCATGCAGAATATGCGTCAGAACAAAACCCCTTTCAGACTTCCACTCTTGCTGTGTAGTTTACCTCCGATCCAGGATCGTAATTGCGGACAGAAGTGGATAGTGCCATCAGTGGATGCATAGACTCACCAGTCTTGGAAAATTTGATACGAGTTCCACCGTCTCCTCATTCGAGACGTTTTCCCAAAGCCCATCCGAAGCGAAGACAACGAATCGATCCTTCTCAGTCAACGGCTTGACGAGTACCGATGGCTGGCAGATGAGGGCTGGGGTAGTAAGGGGATCCTTCAAGCGAAACCGAGTGTACAATGGATTGTTTTGAAACTCTTGATGCTTCAAGTAGAAATCTCCAATTGAACGGGTTACCTGCACATAAGATGGTACACGCTCAGGTTGCAGAATATGAAAGCAGAAACAAAACATTCACATCGAATGCGTGCTCACCTGAATAATCCCCTTCACTCGCCAAACACCACCTTTCTCAACAAGAATGTTGTCGTCCCCTTGAATCATGTCCTTGACCTCCTGCCTGGTCTTCTCACAGCTAGCACTGTGCTCTTCTGAAACCTCCTCTGCTCGTAGAGAAGTACCATCGCCATCGGGATCAACTGAGCCGACAACTGCTCTAGAGTCGCCCACTGAAGCAATGTAAAGAGTGGATGCGTTTATTAACCCAACAAGAGCACACGAGCCTGCTGCTGCAAAGATTGGCTTCATCTTCCAGTTTTCTCTGACTACTTCCAGAAATTGCGCTTCTGCATCTTCAAAAGCCTTTCTGAAGGTCTCTTCACTCGGCCCACCAGCTTCCTCTGTGACTCCTGCAGGCAAAACGCAATAGACTACCTTGAGCAAGCAAACACGAAAGAGATGCCTTGCCAAGGTCATAGCTGAATATGCTGGCACAGTCAGGCGTGAAAATCATTATCTTACTATCCAATATGGAATACATGTTGTCATTGAGAAAGCTTGCAGCTTGGGCCCCGCCGTGTCCGTCAAAAACCCCAACGTATGTGCCGAATTTCCCGCTTTGGACAATGGAGAAATCTTCGAGTATCGCGTTCGCCTGACAGACCGCCATCGAAAAATCTCCTGAACAGACAACCAACCTCGGTTAGGTTGCATGCCTTTACAACCCCGCCGGCTAACAAAAGAAGTTTCCATGTTACCTGAGATGTGGCGGGCTCCAGGGCAGTTCCATATGGTTCTATCTTGAACACCAGCATATACTATCTGCTCTTCTGGTTCCTCGATAACTTCTGGTTCTTCCTCCACTTTAGGCTCTGAAAGGGAACATCGAGAGTAGCGATAAAGCGGGTGAGAAAGTCCACAATGCAGAAACTAGGACCGCAATATCCCCGTTCGGAAGCCAACTTCCAGAACATGCCATTCGCACCATGCAGGGGGGAGAGAAAAATCCAGAAACATTTCCAGGACCAGCTTGGGATGACACACTGACAACAACGATCAGATATGTACTACTAAGACGTTACAACGGAAAAGTTAGAAATCAATACGTGAGACTGAAGCGTTTTAACTCCTAGACTCCAGTCTCATTACTAGACTCTAGTCAGATGTACCTTCAGCTTTAGCCACAGGCTCTTTATTCGCAGAACTCCCAAAACAAAAGCAACCCATTCCGCGACCTTTGTCTGTAAGTGAAGTTAATGGATGCGGAGCGTGCACAGTCAGCATTGTGATCGGGGACACATGATGTTCCCTTGTGACTGTGGCCCACGCTATTTAATCGTTAGATAGGTGATACTATGGCTGCTGAAAGTTGACCACGAGAGACTGTGATGGCAAATGGCTGACCACAGTAAGTCTAGACTGTCTCATAGCATAGCATTCCGACAAAGCGCTGAAGTACGGTCTGTGAGTGGATAAAACGGCAGAAAACGGTATAGTGCGGTTTTAACACATCTCGTCCCAATTTACCACCCCTCTGCGCCAAACCTTTTTCCAAGCCAACAAAAGGGAAATTTTCTGTCAGCCCAGCCAGCTGCAGTCGCAGTTGGGAGTGGTGGAGTGAGGAACAGCTCCCGTCCCGTGACTTTCAACAACAGCAGCTGCACACGAGTGACCCCGAAACAAATGGAATGGGGGAAAATGAGGACGAATGCAGGAAAGGTGAGAAATGTTTCTTTTTACCACGACAAAAGCGATAAGAGAAGAACTGTGCCTTCAACAACCAGGCTGCCCGAAGCACATCCAAAGTCGCAGTGGCGGATGCATAGAAACGGTTGTTGGAAATGGACAAGGACACGCGAAGGCCGCTCGCACGTAACCAGTTCTTCGCAAGATTCGTCTGAGTTATCCATGTTCCGCTTCGTTAGAGCCCCTGGCGAAACTAATGTACGACATCACGGAACGTCCGAGGCCCCTGCGACTCGCACGTCCCCAAACCTCCAACACAAGCACCAGTTGCAAATCCGCGGTAAAGGAAGCACACACCGATATGTACAAAGCCTATATCCCGCTCAAGCACCACACATGTACACTCTTCCCGCTCAAGTTTCACATATCCAAGTTTTGATCAGAGAGTCCCATCCTAACCGTTCTGCATCGTTTTGTGGGGAGACAGTTTAGCGCCTCGTCGAAAGCTCGAGATTAATTTACGTGCCCATGATCGTTGTCTGAGCTTTACACAAATGGGTTCGGCCTCTTCCAAGCACCGGACATTAGAGGACTGGGAAGACAAGGACGAGTCGTCTTTTCCCTGGCTCGAGCCTCGCGGTCTAAAAATCGGCCATGCGACGGACGTGCGACGCGCTTATCGCCTGACGAGAGACGTCCTTGGGGAGGGTCGCACAAGCATCGTATGGTGAGCTGCCGAAATATGCGCATGGCATTCCAGACGACGCTGCCTGGTCCTGCTTGGTCTTGGTGTTTCCTCTCTTCAGAAACTCAGACTTGTGGGAAAACCCAGAGTTTGAGCGATGGACACTGTCCAGGCATGGCATGGCAAACGGTGCCATGCGCATCTTGACGCTGCCTGGTTCTGAAACTCGAACTCAGTTATCTCATTGCGAGTGACGGAAATAAGCACTCATTCACAATCTAGGCCTGGATTTATGGTGACTCTATCGCGTGCAGGGTGGGCGTGGACAGGTTGAGTGGGACCCACGTGGCAGTGAAGATGATATCTAAGCGGATTGTGACAGCAATGAAGGGAGAAGATCATCGGGTGAGTGGTGAGCAGGGTGAGCAGGATAAGCATTGGGAGGGACCACACGCACGAAGCGAGAGCGGAGGAAGGATGATGAACGCTGAGAGGAGAGCAGAGAGAGTGCGGCAGGGGTGAGAGGCTGACAAAGGACCAACGCGTTTACCTCGCTTCTTTTTATTCAATCTCTCTCGCCCTGCTGAAAATACTTTGCTTGCAGACCAATGTGACTCCTGTTCCTGCATGCCTCATTTCCAACCCCTCCCCACTCCCTCTCCTCCCTCTCTCCACATGCTGGCGCCCAACCCCTGCCTACCGCCCAACAGGCGTCTGAGATTGAGGTCCTTCTTGCAGTAAGCCCCTTTCCCTACCAACTATGCTGTACGCGCATCCTGAATTCGGCATGCCTGGCCAGCCTGTGCTACCTGGCATGGCTGGGCTGGGTACGGCTGGGTGCTGCTGGTTCGAATGAGCCTCATAATGCATGCAACCGTTGAAACGGTTTTCTCCAGCCGTTTTGAACTCCCCAACCTTGTCACCAATCCGGGTCTCCAAGCTTTCCGCGCTTCGATCGCTGAGCCTGTTATGGCCTCCTGTTGTTATCTTTCTTATTTCTCCTCGTGTGGATGCTTGCAGCTGCAGCGCAGTGAAGCCAGCAACCAATCAGACAAGAACGATGAGAGCTGTGCTGCTGCCGCCAGTACTTCTGCCGCTAGCAGTAGCAGCAGCACAACCAGCAGCACTACCGCTGCCGCCACCAGCAGTGGCGGTACCTGTTCCACTGTGATAGCAGGGTCGTTACCTTCCTCTGCCGACCCTGTTTGTCCTGCTTCATCTGACTCTACCAACCCGGCTGCACACGATTTTGCCTCAGTCTCAGCCTGCCCTGGCCTACTCCCTGTGCTGGGCACATTTGAGGATACCCGCTTCATCTTCCTGGTCACTCCCTTGGTGGCTGGAGGGGACCTCCTATCGCACATTGCGTCCAGGCCGAAATTCTCAGAGCGCCATGCATCAATTATTGGTGAGAAGCAACGTTGCATCGACCATTCCTGGTCAGCCGCTGTCACCAACCATTCGTGAGCAGACTGTGTGTTTCTCTGAAATTGTGCATTTGATGAAGCTGTTTATTTACTGCTATGTTGGTTTGTGCTGTCCTCCAGTGCGCCATCTGCTGAAGACTCTTGCATATCTTCATTCTAAGGGGATCGCACACCTTGATGTTGTAAGTCGTGCCAACACACCCTGAATGTGTGTTGGGAGGATGAAACGAGATGTGTGGGAGTTTTTTTTGGGGTCTGGGTAGAGGCGAAGTGTGAGTGTGTATCTTGTAGCTCGTGCTTTCATTTCAACCCCTTGCCTTGAATAGATTCCTCCTTGTAAACGCCCTCCCTTCTCCCTCTTGTCCAGTCTACTCACCAACCCCCCTTCTTCCTAAATTTCTTCCCCGCATCAGCGCCAATTCTTACTTACCCCCCAATAGATTTGACGCTGCTCAAGGATGCGATTTAACTGTTTGGAACCAAGCACCCTGTGTTGCCCCCCTCATCCGACCCTCTCCCCCCCACCCTCATCCGACCCTCTCCCTCCCACCCTCATCCGACCCTCTCCCCCCCACCCTCATCCGACCCTCCCTCCCCTTCTCATCAGAACCCGACTAACATTCTCTTCCCTGGTACATCATCCAAGCATCTCCATTTGGTAGATTTCGGATCAGCCATGCTTATTCCTCCTGAAGGTGCTGCCTCACCCTCTCCTGGCACCACACCCTTCTTTGCCGCTCCGGAAGTTTCCCAGAAGCGCGTCTTCACTCAAGCTGCAGACATGTGGAGTCTGGGTGCGGTGCTGTTCTTGATGGTGGGGGGGGTGCGTCCTAGGTTGGCGATGGGAAAGGCAACAGCGTCTGCAGACCAAGTTCATGGGAATGCCACGTGGCTAAGGTTACAGGCTGGTGACGTGGAGGGTTTGCCAGATGATCCCTCTTCCGAGCTTCTGGAGTTTTTGACCAGATTGCTCACGCCGAATCGGTCGGAGAGGATGACGGCGAATGAAGCGCTGCTACATCCTTGGATAAGGTTATCTACATCCAAGCTGCACCAGAGCCCTTTACAGACGTCGGTGAGGAATTGCAAGGAGTATGTGTCAAGGCGCGCTGCTGGGTGCATTGGTAGCGGTGTTGTGAGCTGCTCTACACCGAAAGTCTATGAACAGGATGCACGAAAAGGAGCAGGGCTGACTGCATTGGAAATGACTGGCCAGAAAATATCAATGACGAGTGATGTTGGAAATGATGGACCCAGTGGTCAGGTGGGACGGTTGGTGGTCTCCAGTGCACTGGATCTTGAACCGATGAAGAAAAAGGAGCTCAAGTGGAAGAGCGTTGATAGTGTGATTACAGCGGACTTGAAGGAGTTTGCTCATTGTGAGGTAAAAACAAAGGTTTTTGTAGAGGTGTTGGAGTGCAATCAGCCTAGGAGCAAAGGTAGACACAAATCTAAAACTTATAACCAGATCACTTGTCTAAGTGGTTAATTGCAATAACGAGTCAATGTTTCACTTGTGTCATTTCAGGATATCTCCCCAAGCTTTTCCCGCGGTTTTCAGGCAGACCGTGAGAAGCTTCTGGCGGGAGACATAACTTGTCCCGCCAACAATATCTGACACTTTTATCAAATTGTCAGAATCTTAGGGGTGCTTGTCCCAATTTTGAATTGGTGCAGCCTAAAAGTTGCCCGTTCTGTTGCAGCGACCCACTTCATGCGAGAGGATTGTGCTCATGAATGTTGGAGAAACTGACGAGGCAGCCCCTAGCACACCCACGTTCGGGCAGCTTCGGCGATATTCTTTCAACACCTTGAGCTTGAGGCGCACGACAAGCTGGGAGGTTGGTGGACGTGCGCCATTTTTACCTGCCGGTGATTGGGTTGAACATGGAGGTTTGTTCGCTGGAGCCAACACGGAAACACGTGAGGCTAACCCTCATATATTCCACGTGACATTACTTAATTGGTTACACGTCTGACTTGTGGTGGCGTCAAGGTGGCGGGAATGGTCGCCAGAACAAGCAGCTCAACAGTCGATCTGACCTACTTGACAATCTCAGGATTGTGGATGCCGCCGAAAGTCGTGGTGGATCGTTACACCAGGTTGGGAGGACAGTGCTTGCACCTATTGACGATTGGCAACAGAAATCGAGAGCTCGCGTGATCGTGCAACGCTCGCGTGATTAGCGGATTCCACCGAAAGCCCCAGAAACTCTCATTGTTCATTGGTCCGCGCAGCCAAAGTTCGGTGGGAGCCTCACAGTGCAGCTCTTTTTCGCCCCGAGTCCCACAACCTCAGGAGACTGTGCGGAGCCAAACAACCGCGATACAAAGTTGCCTCTCAGTCAGCAGCACACTTCCCGGCGATGCGATGCGACACTGTCGCAGCACCTACGTCGCAGCGGTGCCCCCGTGTGCTTGCACCGCTGTTATCACGTGTGTAACCCTCGCGAAATCACAACGATCACTGTCCAGGGTGCTAACAACCTTACGAGATGTTGCGAAGGCTTGCGATCAACTACCGACATGTACGATGGCCACACAAGAGCCAAGGGAGTTCACCAAAACTCCCGAGGCCGACGGAAGGCTTGGGGCTGATCGCGACGCGGTCTGACTGACGCGCCAACTGGGACAGCTCCCTCCCTCCCTACCTGGCCACGCGTAATCCCAAGGCTGTCACAGAGGCGCTGATTTTCGCTCCAAAATTCGCCCCATGAAGTTGGCTTGTCTGTTTTTGTTCGCACCTGCCCTGCCCGCCCAGCCCGTGCCGCTCGTTGTCCGTCACATCCCAATCATCCGCAATCCCAATGCCTTCGATAATTGCCTTTTTTCTCGTTCCCACGCGGAAACCTCACTTTTGCAAGCCATCCGCACCGAGTCTTGTCCTGCCCGCCGCCAGCCCCAACTTCCATTCTGCGCCCCATTCCCCCTTTCCATAAACAATCTGCCGCACATCGACTGCTCGCCGAACCCAAACTCTGATTTCCCATCCTCCAGGATGCCTCCCGATGAGTTTTTTTTGCGCCATTCCAATTTCTGCCCCTCGGCAAAATGCCGAATCCCAATGTCCGCCCTTCTGGAAAGCGCCAGCACGGCAAACGCGATCGGTGCACGCAGCCCCTACCATCCCAATTCCATCGGTTTCGCGCACAACGAAACCAACGCGCCCATCTTCCCTCTATCCATCATCCCTGGCGCCCCAAGCACACACACGTTCACAACACATATTTCTGCAGCATGAACGCTGAAGTCCTCATTCTCGCGCCCTCTCTCGATTTCTTTTGAATCTGCAAGCAACTTTCAGGGAAGCCAACTACATCAGGAAAGTAGCATTTAGAACTGCGCCCTTTCTGCTCACGTATTTTCAAATCGTCCTCTAAGCTTCCCTTCCTCCTCAGCTTGACTTGACTCTAATCTGATTGACAGTACCGTAATTTCACAGCCTACGATGGCCAAGCCTACTTCATCTGACAAGAGTGGACAGAAAAAACCTACCGCGGTTCGCCTGCACGAAGGCACGCGGATTCGCGTCGTGTGGCCGCGCGACAACCGCTGGCACGCGGGATTTGTGAAAAAGTACGACGCGAAGAAGGCGCTTCACACGATTGTGAGCGACCACGGCGACAGCAAGCGACTGGACCTGCGAACCACGCGGTGGGAATTCGAAGACCCCAACGCCGACCCGTCCAAGTTTCTCCGCCCGAGAGGTACCCGCGGGAGGAAAAAGGCGTCCGCTGCGGCGGGGACACCCGCGGGAGCAACATCGGCTCTACCACAGCTTTTCCCAGTCGGCGGTTCCCGCTACGCGTCGTCGAACGCGGCTGCGAGCTCTGATTCGGGCGACTCGTCGGACCCAAGCTTCGGACATGTTGACAGCCGGGCTTACGGAGCGGCGCATCCCGCCGGTGCGCACCCTGCGGAGTCGTACGAAGAGGGAGAGTTAGTTCATCGGGGCCTGCGGACCCGGAAAAACCGCCAGTACGTGGTCAGTGACGACGAGTCCGGTGACGGCGATGACGTGGCAGATGATGCTGACGAGGACACTGAGATTGAAAGTGATTATGAAGAAGACGAGGGCTTGGGTTCCGACTCAGAGTGTGATTATACTGGGGGAGCGGTGGATTCGCCGGCTGGAAAAAAGAGGCGGTTGAGTGAAGGGCACGCGTTTGGGGCTGAGTCGGCGGAGACGAAGCGATGCAAGAAGGAAGGGTCGTTCTTCACTCTCACCGAGGTCGCCTGGCAGCAGCAACAATCGCAACCGTCGCAAAAGGCTGTGAAGGCGAAGAGACCCGTGGGTCGTCCGCGAAAGGTGGTGTCGTCCGGTTTGGCCCAAGCCGCCGAGCCTGCTACTGACGAGGATACCACCATGGACGAGATGATGCTCATTATGGCCGTAGCGCGTCGGCTTGTAAAGGATAAGTGCTGCCTGCCTGTTGCCGCGAAGCTCAGGGACAGCAGCGCGTCGGGCGCTGCGACCAAGGAGATGAAGGAGACCGGAAGACCAGCGGAAGGCGGTATGGTGGAGGTGAAAGTGACTCAGCAGGGGCAGCTTCAGGTGAAGGGGGAGGTGCAGCGCGCCGCTGTGAAGGTGGACGTTCAGGGACACATGGAGGACTCGATCAAGGACCTGGGAGCGGTTCATGTCCTCCCAGTTACATCTTCCGGTCCAGGTGCTGCTGCTAGTGGATTTCGGTTTATGTCGGGGATGGAGTCGTGTGCGCGTGCGATGTGGCCCTGCAGCCAGGGTCGCGTGGTGGTGAGGGCAGCAGCTTCGTCTGTGGTCCCTGCTCGGGGTGGTGCCATCCGAGCGTAGGCAACATGCCGTTCCGCCTGCTCAAGTTATTCTTTGACTGAATTAGCTCGTAGTATTTTTATAAACTGGTCGCCATATTCACCAGGTTGGTTGCCTCCGCGGCTTCCTCCTTATACTTTTAACGCTAGTTTGTTTCAGTTTCTAGTGATATTACAAAATTCATTAATAGTCTTACAGGTACTCTTCTGATGACAGTTCCTATGGCAAAAACTGAAACTTCTGGTTGTGCCTCCTCAGCTCATATTGAACCACTTTGGCTCTCACGCAGAGCCACCATATTGGCTCTGGTGGGCAGCTCATGTAGACAGTCATACGGTATTCCTAGTTAGTGATCCCCTATTTCACAAAATTGGCGACTCCAAATGAGATACCGTATCAAAGAAACCTACAAAATTGATGTAGAGGACCACTAAAACAAGCAAGTACAAGCAGGGAGGAATCTTGGCCTTTGCTTGACTGTTCTGGTGCTTCAGCACCATTGGTGCCAACTTTGCAACTACAATCAACCACTTGCTAGAAGAGAATCTGCCAAAGCTTCATTCAAGTCAGCCACTTTCACTCTGGAGCTTCGAGGGCAGCTGAGCCAGAGGCACGCAGCATTGCCATTAGGCTAGCCATCTCAATCTGCAAGTCAGCACGGCAAACAGTGAAACGGAATGACACAGACACGAGTACTGAGCTGTTGAAGTTGCTGCATGCATCATTCACAAACAAATTCCAAGGCAGTGATGGTTGCCCTTCATCCATATGCAAATGCTGTAAGTGTGCATGCATGCACGTATGCATGACAACACACATACCGCTGTGACAGCCGCCTCTGCTCCTTTGTTGCCAAGCTTGCCTCCAGCCCTGTCCATCGCCTGAGAATGAAGTGTAGAGGTAAAAATGCATGAGTCCATCGAGGATCCGGCAACTTTTGGTGTGCATGAGTGGGTGCTGTTTTGCGCCGAGATCTGCGCATGAGTGAGTGCTGGGAGCACATGCATGTGTGGATGGAAAACAAACAAGCACAAAGACAGTAGGCCTGTACCTGCTCCATTGTCTCACATGTGAGAACCCCAAAGACACAAGGAATGCCTGCAGAGAGTGAGGCAGAGGGAGCGAAAAAGCAGAGGGGAGCGGAGAGAGTGGGTGGGAACGGAGAGTGAGCTACAAGAGGTGCTTTGGAGCAATACGAAACCGCGGATATTCCGTCGCAAAACTGGCAAACAAATACAATCACTAAATCACCAATCCTAAATGTGATTTCAATTTCCAGCCTCACCTGAGTTTAGACCTGCACTCAGAACGCCACTGGCAGCATTGTTCGCAACGGCATCATAATGAGTGGTGGAGCCCCGCACCTGAGGCAAGGATGGCAAGGATGGAGGGGAAGGCAAGGGAAAAAGTGAGCGTGAGACTATTGGAATAAGACGCAGAATAGGAACCGAACAACTCTGGGATTTGGTCAGCAGACCACAGCAGCAAAGCTGGCAGGCACTAGCAGGGCTACCACAAAATGGATGAATGCAACGTGCGAGCCAGCCACAGATTTATGAACCAAATTGTACAGCGTACACGACAAGTGGTTGATCTCACTGACCACAGCGCCAATGCAGAGCACAGCGTCGAAGTTGCCCGACTTGGCCATCTCCTGCGCCACCAGGGGAATTTCGAAGCTGCCCGGCACCCACGCCACCTCAATGTGGTCCTTGTCCACGCCATGCCGCCTGAACGTGTCAATCGCGCCCGACAGTAGAGGCTTCGTTACAATCTCGTTGAACTTGGACACCACCTGATAAAGCGGGATGCAAGGTATGGGAGGATCCGAGGGAGGCAGCAAGAAGCAGGGAGAGAGTAAAAGGTGAGAGAGGCGAGATGAGACTAGGAAAACCAAGACTGAGCGCGTGAGATCGTAAACCCTTTCAAAACCTCTCCGGCGTGTATTGAGCTGTGAGAATAGAACGCGAATAAGATCAACGTCCGCGTGGCATTTGAGGTCCTATTGGTCGTTAGCTTGTCCCTGAACTGAACTTTTCGAGCTTACCACCCCAAATCGAAAGCCCTCGCCTGCGATTCCGCCTCGCGACTCTGTCACTGCATATCCGCATCTCGTGGCTACTTGCCGTCTGAGAGTCGTCGCTCTTTTGGAGAACGACGACACCTGAACCACATTTCCTTCAGCCGATAGACCTGTAACGCCACATTGAAAAATATATATACATATAAAAAAATATTAACGGAGGACAAAATCGGAGCAACACAGATAGCATTGGACCACAAAAAAAAGTCACAAAAAGCTGCATGGTGGGACTCGCCATGTGCGAAGGACGTTGAGAAGCCAGTTCCCAACAGTTGCCTGCTCTTCAATGAAGCCTCGTGACGCTGAAATCCACTGAGGTCTGAACGACAAAGAGCCGCATTCGTCGACACCGCGACAGTGCTCGCAGCGGAAGCCATTGCGCCGACGATCTTAGATGAGGTGACAGCAGGACAGCCGCTGAAGCAGTGGTCAGCCGTGAAACGCGCTGGCTCACTCTTACTGCATAAGACTAGCCGCGGGGGTTGTTCGAATTGCAGTTGTTTGTCGGGATTCACTTAGTGAGAGGAGAGGGAACGAGTGGAATCAGAATAAGTTGTTTCTTCAGTCGGGAGAATTGTATATTACATTACGTATATTCACAACAAAAATGAGGAGTAAGACATGCTAAAACGCGTACAATCTGGCTCGATTCCCTGCCATTGACCAACTGCACCAACTTTTCATCCCGCTGCCACGCTGTTGTTGAGAAATCCTGTAGCCATTTCCTGAGTGCTTGCTTCTAGTTTCCTCAGCTTGCTCCTAGCTTTCGTCAGCTTGCTCCTAGTTTTCCTCAGCTTGCTCCTAGCTTTCGTCAGCTTGCTCCTAGTTTTCCTCAGCTTGCTCCTAGCTTTCGTCAGCTTGCTCCTAGTTTTCCTCAGCTTGCTCCTAGCTTTCGTCAGCTTGCTCCTAGTTTTCCTCAGCTTGCTCCTAGCTTTCGTCAGCTTGCTCCTAGTTTTCCTCAGCTTGCTCCTAGCTTTCGTCAGCTTGATCCTAGTTTTCCTCAGCTTCTCATCCCGTAACGCGTGGTCATTTGCGTTGCGTGCGTTTCAGCTCGCCAACGTTCAAAAGCGATGGACGTAGCTCACGCTCTCCGCATGCTCGATACTCTAGATGCGCATCTGTTAGCCCTCCTTCCTGCTGGAGAGCTCCAGGCAGCTGACAGAGCAAATGTGGCAGATTCAGGTGATTAGACCAGTGTGAAACGCTTAGACCATGAGAGACGTTCACTTATTCTGAACAACGAAGTAAAAAATCTTGTTGACCTTCATGACCGATTTTTTTAGAAACATAGGAATATAATTCACGTCCCTGCTGTACTTTGTCCTTCCTTCTTGCAGTGGATCTTGACATTCGAGCCCATCAATTCCTTGAAACGGCGTGTGATCTGGAGCGTTGTTTCACAAGGCTTCGAGCGCGGCACATGGCTGATCCTCAAGCAACACTATCCAGGGTAAGGTCTCGGCCTGCAGACGCTTGTTCGTTGCGTGCACACCTTAGAACCAACACACCTGCGACCGGATGTTTTGCAGGAAGTGACGGCTCTGGAAGAAGAATTGAAGAGGAAACACCTTGCTTTGAAGGAGTGCCGGGAACAAGCTGCTGAATGGGATGATATTGTCAGGCAAACTTCACAACAATTGGAGAATTCCTTAGATGACGTTTAATCAGTTACTACTATCAAGATATAATAACGATACATGCAGCATAACAAAGAGAGCTGTAGACTAGATTAGATATTAGTACTGTGCACTTACCCTCACAACATCAATGACGTTGGGGGGTTAGGAAGGTCAGTTCCTCGTCTCCCAAGTCAGTTAGGAATCTTGTTAATTCTCTCCTGAAGCTTGAATCTTTCAGTGATGTGTGGCCTCACATCATCTGCCCTCGCCAGGGTCTCCAAAAATGGGAGAAGCAACTGCAGCTCGCAGTCCTTGTCATCATCAAACCATGCTTCAATAGGGATACCATTGTCAACTTGCAATCCAAAAGCCTGCACAAACGCACTGCAACATGTGAGAAGCCTGCACAAATACATGGAAAAACCAAATAGTTAGGCCAAAGGAAAGAAAAAAAATACCTGGGGAGAGTTGTCAACAATGACCACTTTGGAAAGGTCTCGTCCAAGCACAGACAGGTCCTTGACATAGTTCCCTTCAATGTAGACACAGGACTCTCTGAAGATCCTGTGCTGAACCAGCTCCGTCTTGGGATCCATTATATCAAGAAGCTTATCAGCGTAAATACCCTGGCTGGCTGTGAAGACCACAACCTCGAACAGCTCAGCTACCTTCTGCAGAAAAGTCTCCACATGGGGGCGTTTACGAACATGGACCATATGCGTATGGCTGTTCAGCAAGACTGGGAAGTTGAAATCGGAAAACGGGCAGAAGTCCATTGTCGAATGTACCAACGTCTCTGTAACAGGAACACACAACAGACGTTAAGTAGGGCAAGTAAGAAGCACGACGTCCAACGCAACAGATGGCAAAAGCTTACCATCAAGATCCAGGACCAGCGTCACAGGCGGCGCATCTGCTTTCCGCGGAGGTAAGATGTAAGGACGATTTTCCGGAATCGTATATGTGAGCAGCGGCAGCCGTTTGATGAAAAGAAGAGGGTCATTTTCATCATCTGCATCGCTTTCACTCCCGACCGCATTACTTTCCTCTTGACATTCCAGGCCGTGAAACTCCAGATCTTCGTGGCCTGCACCCGCGACGTCTCCTGAATTGAGGAGAGAAACCCAGGAGTGCCCGCATGTTGTACACTCCAACTGGAAACAAACGAAGAGCAACCCGCAGCGTTAGCAGTGATGACGAGAGAGAATAACCGTGCCCAAACGACTGTACAAAAATTTAGACACGAACCTTGTGCTCTTCAACTTCATTCGAGCAATTTTCCAAAGGAGAATTAGGAACGGTTCCGCAGACACCGCAGTTAGGGCAGATGAGTTCCACCTGAAAACAGTAGAAAAAAAATTGGGTTGAAAAAATCAGCAACAGAACAGGAAAACCACGGGAATACTTCTGTGCTTAAATGAAGAGACATTGCGCGCAAAAACAACAAACGCCACGACTTTAAACACGGCAGCTTACCAGATGTTGCACATCGATGGGAGAGGTTGACTGCTCCGCCAACTTCTCATCAAAATCGTGGACCTCAACTGCCTCCAGAAAAGCCTCGGGGTCTTCGGCAAGTCCAGTCGCACCAGTACGGACGTCAACGGTGCTTGCCGTGATACTGCACCCAGCATCTGCTTTATCGCAAACTTCCAAATACGTATCCACATGCGAAAGGTGATCTGTCACCGAGGGAACTGCCAGTGAAGGTTTGCAGCAACCACCGCTGACGGAAGAATGATCTTCAGGAGCTTCAACGGGACACAAAGGCGACTCCGAGGTCCACGGGGCGGTTCCTTGATCCCACTCACACCCGCTTCTCCCACTACAATACGAGCAGTCTCCGTCCGGACATCCCATTAGGGCAGAAACGTTCTCGTCCGCCTCACTCTCTTTTGCAGCTTGTTCGCATCTGATAAGACCGCCAGCAACCGCCAAACACTTGCCTTCACTCGACAGCTTGCGACGCTTGGAACCAGGAACGTTCCAGCTCAGCTCGGAGCCCTTCGCAGAGCGCTTGTTTGAACTTGAACACACAAGGTTGACCTTATTGCTCTCTTGAAGCTCTCTGGGCGCATGCTCCACGAGCGACTCCCATTTCTCCTTAGACCGAGCAAGTGCCGTCGCAAGCTCGTCATGATGTTCCCTGGGAAGGAACTTGTCGGTCACAGTCAGTAGACGGTGACTTTGAACGTCATATACATATGACACCACAAAATCCGAAAGCTCACTTGTTGAAGGCAGAGCTTTGGACGGCGGGATAACAACGACGCTGCACTTCCGTACTATTGTCTCGGGAACGAAGGACTCGTAGTGAAAGGAATAAAACAGCTGCCGTGGATCCGAGGGAACACATGTCCTTTTGCTGTTTCCGAAAAGTTCATCTGTAGTGGTTGCCCTGGCTTCGACCGAGCTTCTGCCATGCTCTTTTGAGAACGGAAGAAGTTGCTCCCGATAAAGCCATTGACCTTTCACTTCGAGACCACCATCCGGGTTGACCCTGATTTGCTGCACAGGATTAAAAACAACGGCGTAAGTACACGAAAAGTACGCTCTAATGTAGCGTTCAAAAGCACTATAAAGAGGGAAGAGCTACGGAGAAGAAACTTACACGAATGAAGACGACATCGTACTCAGAACGGCAAGACCTCAGTAATACAGAGTCTCCCTGAAAAGGCGGAAGAACATATATTAGCTGTCAATGTACTACAACTAGAAATAACTCCATAAGACTCCTAGCTAAGGAAGGCAAAGGCCTACCACTTCGTATACTTCATGGCCGACTTGCAGTGAGTTGAAGAGCAAGACCTCATGTGGGGACCTTCCCTCAGACCCAACAGGGTCTCCAAGAACTCTTGTGCTAGACTCGCTCTGTGCTAGACCTGCCATCGAACAAACCCTGACGACAACGCTGTCGCACTACGGCTGACGGTTTCTGTTCTCGAAAAT